TCCCTGAGTCTTCAGCTCAAATGTGCTCTACTATTGGAGCCGCAGTACCACTTCCAGTTTTCTGGTGGTTAATTGGAGATAAGAGTCTCATGGCATTTCTTGCCCTGGCTGGCTTTGAACCACAATCCTCAGATCTCAGCCTCCTGAGTAGCTAGTATTACAGACATGATCCATCAGTGCCCGGCCATTTCTGGCTTTTTGATGATTCATCGGAGATAAGAGTCTCAAGGACTTTTCTGCCCGGGCTGGCTCTAAACTGTGATCCTCATATCTCACCTCCTGAATAGCTAGGATTACAGGCGTGAGCCACCAGTGCCCAGCCTGAGGACACCTTTGACTCTGTTTTCCACAATAGATGTGCACTTTTGCTTTTGGCTTATTTTAGGAATTATTTGAAATGCCCAGAATGGTTGTCTTTTAGGTTTTGTACAAATAAAGAAGATATCCTACCTAGCTACTCAGGAGGCTGAGATCTGAGGATCACAATTCAAAGCCAGGCCCAGAAGGAAAGTCTGGAGACTCTTATCTCTAATAAACCACTAGAAAACCGGAAGGTGTGCTGTGGCTCAAGTTGTACAGTGCTCGCCTTGAGCTGAAGAGCACAAGGACAGCACCCAAGCCCAGAGTTCAAGCCCCATGACTGACCAAAAAAAAAAAAAAAAGATATCCTAACTTAACATACTTACGTTAGCCAGGGGCAAAAACTCAAGGTGAGTATGCACGTAGTGTCTCTCTTCCTCTTGCCTTACTCCCTGCTTCTGTCATGATGCCCCCAGTGCTTCTCAGCTAATCTTTTCCCAGAAGGTAGGTGACACAACTGTTCTCTTTGCTCCAGAAATCCCCAAGCACTCTAGCAATATGGCCTCTGCAATACCTGATTTTTGCATGCTGTCTCTGTGGACATTTTTGGTTGTATGTGTATGTATATGTATGTGTGTGTGTGTGTGTGTGTGTGTGTGTGTGTGAGAGAGAGAGAGAGACAGAGAGAGAGACAGAGAGAGAGAGAGAGAACTGGAACTTGAACTCAGGGCCTGGGTGCTCTCCCTTAACTTTTCTGCTCAAGGCTGGTGTTCTGCCTCTTGAACCACAGTTCTAATTCCATCCTTTTTCTGGTTAATTGGAGATAGGAGTTTCACACATTTTTTTGTTGTTGTTTGTTTGAGTTTCCTGCATGGGCTGGCTTTGAACCATGATCTTTAGATCTTTTAGCCTCCTGAGTAGCTAGGATTATAATAATATGGGCCACGGATGCCTAGTGACATAGACAGTGTTTATTGCTTCTTTGCTTCATTCTCTGGAGACTAAGATTGTACACCAGGAAACAGCTAGCTGGCACAGACACCTGGGAATTTCTTTTTTTTCTTTTTTCTGGGTCCGGTCATGGGGCCTGAACTCTGGGCCTGGGCGCTGTCCCTCAGCTCTTCAGCTCAAGGCTAGCGCTCTATCGCTTGAGCCACAGCGCCACTTCCGGCTTTTTTTCTTTTTGCTTATGTGGTGCTGAGGAATCGAATCCAGGGCCTCATGCATGCAAGGCAAGCGCTCTACCACTGAGCCACCTTCCCAGCCCCCAGACCTGGGAATTTCTACAGCAGTAGGTTTGTGATAGGAAAGTGATCCTCAGGGTCTGTTGTTTATTCTGCTAGCTTGCTGCTGCCTTTTTCCCATTTGAGCCATGCCTCTAGCCTAGCTTTTGCTAGTTACTTTGGAGATGAAGTCCCTTGAACTTTTCTGCTGGGGACAGCTGTGAACCATAATCCTCTGTATCTCAGCCTCCTGAGTAGCTAGGATTACAGGCCTAAGACACTGGTACTCGACTGTGAAGTAGAATCATTATTGTTATTGTTATTATTGTTGTTATATACTTATTTATTTATTCTTTGATACAGGACCTTGCTTTGTTGGATTTGGACTCTTAATTCTCTTGCCTCAAACTCTGAAGTGTGGGGTTTACAGGTGTTTACTACCACACCCCACTTGGAAAATTTATTTTCCTTTTGAAAGTTGAAAGGGCACAGTTTTCTTTGACTTAGTTGCTGAGCACAGATATCCTCACCTAGATTTCAGCAGATGGGAAGCAGATTATCATTTCAACATCAATACCTTGGAAAAGAAAACATGTTGACACACGTCTAGAAGCGTTTGCTGATCTGTAGGGAAGAGTAGTAATTTTAAAAAGACTCATGAGTTGTATTTTGGCTGCAAGAAACCCTGCCTTCTCTCTAAGCATGCTTCCTCTCAGGATTTGCATCTCCCTGCTTTAAGGTTCTCTTTGCCTTCCTTAACAAGGATCCATATTCATTTTTGTTCCAGTTAAAACTGCTATATCTGGGCTCTGAGGCTCACAAACTAAGACAAGCTCCCCAAACTGCAGATCCCTGAACAAAGGGTACCCTTTTGGGGGCTAGAGACTTGTAGCATTTGGCAGCTTTGCCTGATTCTTCCTGGGCACACATTGCTGCTTGGCAGCTGGAGCTGTATCTTGGTTGTAAGTCCCTGGCTTTGATTTCTTCATTGTCTCCTTGCCAGTGACTTGGCTTTTGTTTGTTCAAGTTCTAGTTTACTTCGTGTGTGTGTGTGTGTGTGTGTGCGTGTGTGTGCGTGTGTGTGTGTGTGTGTGTGTGCCCTAGGGCTTTAACTCAGGGCCTGGTGCTGTCTCTCCTTTTTTTCATTCAAGACTGGTGCGCTGACACTTGAGCCACAGGTCCATTTCTGGCAATTTGCTGATAAGCTGGAAATAAAATTCTCTGATTTTTCTATTTGAGATGGCTTTGAACCTTGATCCTCAGATCTCAGCCCCCTGAGTAGCTAGCAATACCAGCCTGAGCCAACAGCAACCCAGCTTTTACTGGGTTGTTTGAAAGGAACAGATCAGTGATCTCCCTTCTGGTGGCAAATCTACTGCAGCATTTCTTTACACCTGGAGGTTAATGGTTAGTCATTTCCTTTGTCTTTACTTTGAGGCAAAATCCAGCTACTCATTTTCCAATTTCCACATATCCCACTGACTTCCTTATTTTGATTCCTGGTCTTGCTAGCTTGCAGATCTACCAGATTGGAAATTTCAAAGACAGCCTGTTGACTTGTCTTCCTTCCCTTCCTTCCTTCTGTCGTGACTGCTGAAATCCAATGCATGGCCCAGTCTGGAAGGTTTCCCTCTGGCCTGCAGCGTTCCCATTTATCTTCCTTCTTCTCTTGCCTCTTTCCTTTCTGCATTTCCAACCTTTGTTACTTTTTTTTTGGGGGGGGGGGGGAGGGGTGTCGGTAGTGGGGCTTGAACTCTGGGCTTAGGCGCTGTCTCAAGGTGAGTGCTCTGCCCCTTGAGCCTCAGCACCACTTCCCATTTTTTGGTGGTTTATTGGAGATAAGAATCTCATGAACTTTCTTGCCTGGGCTGGCTTTGAACCATGATCCTCAGATCTCAGCCTCCTGAGTAACTAGGATTACAGACCTGAGCCACTGGCTCCGGGCCCCCTTGTTACTTTTAATCTGAATAAATATTGGTTCCCAGCCATCTCTTTTGTTTGCTGGCATATATCATAGTGGACTGTTTAGTAAAAGGAAATCCTCATGATATTTCCATACATACCTGCAGTGTACTTTGATCACAGTCACTCATGAATTTCTCTTCCATAACTCCCCTTCTAGTTCTCCCCTCCCCCTTTCACTTCTCTAATTATCCTCTTTTATTTTCATGGTTGTGTGTGTGTGTGTGTGTGTGTGTGTGTGTGTGTGTGTGTGTGTGTGTGTGTGTGTGTGTGTGTATTAGAGCTTGAACTCAGGGTCCTGGGCACTGTAGTTTTCTTAGTCAAGACTGGCACTCTAGCTGGGCAACGGTGGCTCATGCCTGTAATCCTAGCTATTCCGGAGGCTGAGATCTGAGGAACGCAGTTCAAAGCTAGCCAGAACAGGAAAGTCCTTGAGACTCTTATCTCCAATAAACCACTAGAAAATCAGAAGTGGTATTGTAGCTCAAGCGTTAGAGTGCTAGCCATGAGCTGAAGAGCACAAAGACAACGCCCAAGCCCAGAGTTCAACACCGCCCCCCCCCCCCCACAACAAAAAAGAAGACTGGCATTCTACCATGAGCCACAACTGTACTTTTAAAAGCCTTTTGGTGATTAATTGAGGAGAAAAGAGTCTCATAGACTTACCTGCTTGGGCTGGCTTTGAACCAAGATTAAGATCTCAGCTTCATGAATAGTTAGGATCATAGGGTGAGCCACCAGTGCCTAGTTTTTCATGGTGTTAAAAAAACTTTTTAATATTTTTTTTATTGTAAAAATACTGTACAGAGGGGTTACAGTTACATGAGCAAGGTAATGAGTACATTTCCTATCAAGCATTGTTACCTTCTCCTTTGTTTTTCTCCTACCATCCCTTCCCTCTCCACCTCTCCAACTCCTCCCTCCCCCCCACCCCCAAGTTGTAAAGTTTGTTTTCAACATAGTGTTTTGTACATGTCATTGTTACTATGGATCAACCTGTATCCTTATTTAAGCATTCTGTTATTTCCCTTCTGCTTCCCAAATTAGAAAAATGTACATACAAGATGCAGGGCACTGGAATCAAATACAGTGAAAACATGGGGGAAGAACATACCAAAGAAACAAAAAAATTACATAGTACATTATAAATACTTTAAAAACAATAGCAAGAAAGAAAAAACCACTGTGTCCCTATCTTGGGGTTCATTTCGCTTAACATAATCTTAACATAATCATGGGCATATGTACATTGCTTTTGACTTTTTCTGCTTGTCCTAGACATATACTAGTTATTGCAAATAAAGGGAAAACATGAGACCTATGTTTCTTTGGGCCTGGCTTACTTCACTTAATATAATTTTTTCCAAGTCTTTCCATTTCCTAACAAATGGGGCAGTGACATTCTTTCTGATGGAGGCACAGAATTCTTATATCACATTTTCTTAGTCCATTCATCTCCTGAGGGGCATATGGGTTTGTTCCATATCTTAGCTATGGTAAATAATTCTGCGATAAAAAAATATGGAACACTTCACGAATTCGCATGTCATCCTTGGGCAGGGGCCGTGCTAATCTTCTCTGTATCATTCCAATTTTAATATACATACTGCTGAAGTGAGCACTTTCATGGTGGTTTTGTTTTGCTTTATTTTGTTTTAATTTTCCCATAAATGAGAGCAAATATGCCATACTTGTCTTTCTGAGTCTGGCTTATTTCATCTAATATAATCTTCACTTACATCCATTTTTTAGCCAACCACATAGTTTCATTCTTCTTAATAGCAGAGGACAAGTCAGTTGTGACTTTTACTCATAATAAACAAGTCTTGAGGATGGATGGGGTGACACTGATCAAGATGTACTATACTCATAAATTGACATGTTGAATTGAAACTCCTCTTTCCAACTACTTCAAAGATAATAATAATAATGATAATAATATAAGCCAAAACAACACAAACAACATACAGAAGTTACCTCCCAGTTTGTTTATCTTGGTGTTCTTGGGAATAGTGCCACAGACAGAGGTGCACAGTAAAGCTGATTTTGCTTTTTGCGGCTATATACTCACAAGTGTTATGGCTGAATCATAGATGAGTTCTCTTTTTTAAAAATATATTGAGGAACCTTTATACTGATTTCCATAGTGGCCAGATTAATTTCTATTTCTGCTAGTTAGTCCACAAGAATTGCTTTTCCCTTCTTTTGGAGCAGCATTTATCACTTGTTTTCTTAATGAGAGCCATTCTAATTGGGGTGAGGTGTGCTCTGGGTGTAGTTGTGATTTACATTTTGCTGATGGCTAAAGAAACCAAGAAGTTTGTCTTGTATTCACATTGGCCATTTGTAATTCTTCATTTGAAAAATGTTCACCTTGATTGCCCATTTATTGATTGGATTATTTGTTTATTTTGGTGTTTACTCTTTTTCCCCCGAATATTGGGTCTTGAATTCAGGGGTCTGGGTGCTGTCCCTTAGCTTTTTTGCTCAATGTTGGTGCTGTTCCACTTGAACCACACATCTGCTTCTTTTTTGCTAGTTAATTGGAAATAAGTGTGTCACAGACTTTAATACCTTCCTTCCCCTCCCCTCCCCTCCCTTCCCTTTTTCCCTTTTCTCTTTTCCTCCTCTCCTCTTCCCTCTCCCCTCTTCTTTTGTGCCAGTACTTGGACTTTAACTCAGGCTCTCCCTCAACTTCCCTCCTCCTCCCCCTGCTCTTTAACTCAGGCTCTCCCTCAACTTCCCTCCTCCTCCCCCTGTTTTCGTTCAGTCTTTTCTACTCATGTCTAGTACTCTACCACTTCAGCCATACCTCCAGTTCTGATCAATTGTTCCTTTTGCTGTGTAGATGCCTTTAATTTTGTTTTTTGTTTTTTTTTTTTTGTCGGCCATGGGGCTTGAACTCTGGGCCTGGGCGTTGTCCCTCAGCTCTTCAGCTCAAGGCGAGCGCTCTACCACTTGAGTTACAGCGCCACTTCTGGTTTTCTGGTGGTTTTATTGGAGATAGGAGTCTCACGGTCTCTCCTGCCTGGGCTGGCTTTGAACCGCGATCCTCAGATCTCAGCCTCCTGAGTAGCTAGGATTACAGGCGTGAGCCACCAGTGCCCAGCTATGCCTTTAATTTTGTGTAATCACATTTATCAATTCTTGTTATATTTTTTGAGTATATTATTTGCTTTCATTTTTTATTGTTATTTAAAAAATTTACTAGGTCTTTATTTTCTTTTTTTAAATTTTATTTTATTGTAAAGATGCTGTACAGAGGGGTTACAGTTACATTTGTGAGGTAATGAGTACATTTCTTGCTGAACATTGTTACCCCTTTGTTTTTTTTTCCTACTATCCCTTCCCTTTCCCCCCTTCCCCATTCCTCCCCTCCCAAGTTGTAATAACAAAATGCTGAAACAAGGACATAGGTCTTTATTTTCAACACCACCAATTGGCTGTATATGGTTACATACCAATTAGTTGTATAATTTTATTCCTCTTATTGATTTATACAATCCCTGGAATTAACTCAAACTAGTATCTATCAGTGTTTTGACTACTATTACATGAATATGACTCTAGTATACTCTTAAGTCAGGTATTTTTGTACCTGATTGTTTTTGATTGCTTTGGCTGTTTAGGGTCTTTTATATTTCCATATGACCTTTAGGATTTTTCCCCTATTTCTGAAAATAATGCCATTGATAGAGAGGACCTTGAATTTGTAATCTTAATTTTGGAAGTATAGCCCTTTTCACAATATTAATTTAGCTGATCCATGAACATGAGAGGTATTTCCTTTTTTTTTTTTTTTTTTGTCTGTCGTGGGGCTTGAATTCTGGGCTTGGGCGCTAACTCTGGGCTCTTCAGCTCAAGGCAAGCCCTCTACCGCTTGAGCTACAGCACCACTTCTGGTTTTCTAGTGGTTTATTGGAGATAAGAGTCATAGACTTTTCTGCACGGGCTGGCTTTGAACCATGATCCTCAGAGCTCAGCCTCCTGAGTAGCTAGGATTACAGGCATGAGCCACCAGCGCCCAGCTCATGAGAGGTATTTCCATCTTTAGTGTCTTCTCCAATTTCTTTAGCGTTCCGTCATTTTCAATGTCAGGGTCTTTTTTCCAAGAATGCAAGGGTGATTCCACATATGCAAATTCCTAAGTTTAATATAGTATCAAAACTGAAGCAAGGACAATAGTCATATAATCACCTCAATGGATATAGAAAAGCCTTTGAAAAAAATCTAATATCCTTTCATGATAAAAGCCCTGAAGAAACTAGGAACAGACGTTTCATATTTCAACATAATAAAGGCTATGTTTGACAGACCTGTGAGGCAAGGGTATCCATTAACACTATTATTCAATACATATAGTGCTTGAATTCTTTTTTTTTTTTTTTTTTAATACTGGTTCTGGGTCTTGAACTCAGCCTAGTTGTTGTCCGTGAGGGTTTTTGTTTTTTTTCCCCTCAAGACTAGTGTACTAAGACTTGAGCCACAGCTGTACTTCTGGCTTTTTTGGGTGGTTAATTGGAGTCTCCTGGACTCTCCTGCCTGGGCTGGTTTAAAACCACACTCCTCAGCCTCCTGAGTAGCTCAGATCACAGGTGTGAATCACTGGTGCCCAGTTAGTGATTGAATTTCTTAACTAGAGCAATAAGGCAAGAGAGAGAAACAAAGGAAACACATAAGAAAAGAAGAAGTCAAACTACAAGTCCTGTTTGCAGAGGATATGCTTCTGTATTGAAGTGGCCCTACAGATCCACTAGCAGATTCTTAAATCTTCAGTACTCTTTTACTATAGGAGCAGATGCAAAATCTGCATACAAAAACATAGCTTTTCTGTATACAAGTAGATTGTTTTGAGTCATGGCTCCTTTCCAGCATTTTTCTGGTTAATTAAAGATAAGAATGTCTTAGATTTGTCTGACTTGGACTGGATTTGAACCTCAGTCCTTCAGAGCTCGGCATCCTAGGTAGGTAGGATTTACAGGCATGGGCCACTAGTTCTCCATCCAAGCTAGATCTTTGTATTAATTTTGAAGGTTGGAAGGAGTCTGATCTGAGAAGAAAATGAAAGTGAGGCAGAGCAGTGTCAGACCTTCCAGTGATAAAATAAGGAAAATGGCAAAACAGAAAGTGTCCTGGGCAATTCAGATGGGGTAACTCTAGCTGGGTGCTGATGGCTCAGGCCTGTAATCCTAGCTACTTAGGAGGCTGACATCTGAGGATTGTACTTCAAAACCAGCCAGTGCAGGAAAGGCTTGAGATTCTTATCTCCAATTAACTACTAAAATGCTGGAAGTGGAGGTGTGGCTCACCATGGTAGAGCACCAGCTTTGAGTGAAAAAGCTTAGGGGCATTACCCAGGCCCAAAGTTCAAACCTCAGAACTGACGAGTGCATGCGCGCGCGCATACACACACACAAATAAAATGAACTAGCTAACTAATGTACAGACAAAAAAAGATTTAGATTCCTCTGATGTGCTAAGTCAGAGTGTAGAAATGCATCCAGCTGCTTTGGAAACTGCATAGTTCCTGGTGAGAAATGTCCTGGCACCAGCGAAAACACTGGGGAGGTCTGATGTGGGAACTCTGGGAAACTGTTTCTTTAGCAAACCTTTCTTTCTTTCTTTTTTTTTTTTTTGGTCGGTCGTGGGGCTTGAACTCTGGGCCTGGGCGCTGTCCTTCAGCTCTTCAGCTCAAGGTGAGCGCTCTACCACTTGAGCTACAGCACCACTTCCAGTTTTCTGGTGGTTTATTGGAGATAGGGGTCTCAAGGTCTTTCCTGCCTGGGCTGGCTTTGAACCGCGATCCTCAGATCTCAGCCTCCTGAGTAGCTAGGATTACAGGCGTGAGCCACCAGCGCCCGGCTAGCAAACCTTTCTTGTCTCTACATTTTTAGTCAATATGGAAGTTGAGAAACACATCAAAGGAAAATGTCATTAACCGTTGCCACAATTTTTGTTTGAAGTTCCTGGGGCTTGAAGTCAGGGTCTGAGAGCTGTCCTTCAGCTTTTTTTTTTTTTTTTTGCGCAAAGCTGGTACTCTACCACTTGAGCCACACTTCCACTTGCAGCCTTTTGCTGGTTAATTAGAAATAAAGTCTTAGGACTTTTCTGCCCAGGCTGACTTCACATTTCATAGCTCAGCCTCCTAAGTGGCTACAATTGAATGTGTAAACCATGGATGCCCAACTCACCATGATTTTTTATCTACATTGAAGTTGCATTACTGGCTGAAAAAAGCCAGAGAAATTGGGTAAACTTGCTGGAGAGTATTCCCCAGGGCTCTTGCTGAGTAGTCCTGGTGTTACTCCCAAAGCAAGGCTTACAGTGGGAAGATGTGTTACCCAGAAAAGCTTTGCACTAGTAACTCTCACCTGTAATCCTAGCCTACCCACTCTGGCTTCAGAACCAAGATCCTCTGGATCTCTACCTCCTTAGATACTAGGATTATAGGTGTGAGCTACTGGCATTCAGCTTATTTTCTGAGTCAATGAATTTGCCTATTTGTACTAATTATTCTCTGTATTGGATCACCCTATCATATTTGTTCTCTTGGGTCAGGTTTACCTTATTTACTATAATACTGCCAGGGTTCATCTATTTCATAGTTTGGTCAGAATCCTAT